TCCGGTAGCACTCGAATCAAACAACACCTGAACTGGGATACCGTTCACATGGAACGATCCTAAACAAGACATATCACATGACATATTAATATCATAAACACATAAATAAAAGCTAGGGAGAAGAAATCATACCCGTCACCACATCGGGTGCGGCGCGTGCCTCCTCGGTAGTCAACTGGAAGGCCCGACTCATCACCACTGGAGCCTCTGTCTTTCCCTGCCGACCATCAGTGATCCGCAGGGTCGCTGGAGCTGGCGCCTTCACCGGCGTTGCTGCTGTCAACTGAGGGCAATTGGCATTTTTATGGCCTCGCTGGTTGCAATGAAAACACAACAACTCTGATGTCTGGAAGGCGGGCGCAGAGGCAGTACAATCCCTGCTAAAGTGCCCCAACTTGCCGCACGTGTAGCAGCTCGATGATCCAAACCGACAAACCCCCTCATGAGTCTTGCCTCACTTTCCGCAGCGGCCCCGACCCTGCTGGCCCTTCGACCTAGAGTCGGATCCCTTGGGCTTCTTCCCTGAAACCCCAGTCATCTGTCTCTCCTCTGCCTTCCTCTTACGGATGTGCTCTAAATCAATCTCCCTCTCCCTCGCCCTGGCAATCATGGAATCCAGGGTCGGGCAAGCCGAGAAGCTGACATGCTCCCGAATATCAGCTCTGAACATGTCATGATAGCGGGTCCTCCGCATCTCCTCATCTCCTGCATATTGGGGCACTAGTAAAGCCCTCTCCCCGAACTTGGCGGTAATCTCTGCCACTGTCTCTGTCGTCTGCCTCATATCCAGGAATTCCCTTGCCAACTGCTGAAGCTCTACCGTCGGCGCAAACTCAGCCCTGAACCTGGTCACAAAGTTCGACCAAGTCATAGCCTCAATAGCCGAGGCGCCTAACGAGTCACCAACCGACTCCCACCAGTCTCTGGCCCGGTCTCTCAAACAAGCTGCGACATATCGCACCTTCGACCCCTCAGGGCAGAAGCTCGTCAACTGTGCAGACTCAATGTCTACAATCCATCTCCTGGCTGCGATGGGGTCCTTAGCCCCATGGAATTCCGGCGCACCACTGCCCCTAAAGTCCTTAAAGGACAATGTGCGTGGTCCCGACTGACTGAATGTCATATCACTCCTGAATGCCCTGAGGCAATCCTCCATCAACTCAATGATCCCTTCCTTGATCGACCCGAAAATCACTGGGGTCGACTCAAGGATACCTCTCGTGATCTCGGACGCGATAAAATCGCGCAGTCCCTCATCCACTGGCTCGGAACCTGCACCCGAACCTGATCCGGAACCGGATCCTGACCTTGAACCTCCTCCTCCTCCGTGACGTGTGATCATCACCATTCTGAAACATAACACATAACTGTCAGAATCATACATAAACCTTGGGAGGTATCATACACTCTACAAGTTTCCTGGTTCTATCTCGACCCTCCTTGATTCGAGTACGGATCCTCTGCTTTCAGTAGTACGGGCCTATACTACCTTCCGCATCTATCCGTACTTTCCTCAAGAATTGCTTCGACTTCAACAAGTCCCTTCTACTACTATTGCACTCTTTTCCAACCTCTTTCTAGGCTTACCCTAGGGCAACTCTCCGACCTACTCTCTGCCATCAGCTGCATAAGGAACCCCTGCTACCTTTACCTAACTAGCTTACGAATACCATTACATATTACTAAGACCAGATAATTCTTCGAATGAAAGGTCCTACCCCACAACGGTTGGACTCAAACAAGAGCTGCGCAGTACGGCTAGACCTAACCTTCTGGAATTAATTTGTCCTCGCAATATGTAACTTAACGTATTCGTTTACTAGTTAGCTAAAGATAACTAGGACTCCCGAAGCACATAGCAACAACATTCGGGTATGGAGTAACCCAATCCAATCATACTCTATCCAAGCTATCATATAACTGACTAATCAGTAATATCTTGCAGCTCAAAAACACATATAACAGGCATATCAGGCATCTTCCTAGATCCTTAGCCCTAATCTAGCATACAGTTCTGATACATATACAGTAGGCATATAAGGCATCCTTCCTAGATCCTCTAGCCCTAATCTAGCATGCAGTTCTCATAATCATATCATATCATAACATATATGGGTATCTTGGGGAAAACTTACTTGAGCTCGGCCGGTCGCGCACATCACACATCTTGTTCTTTTTCAAAGCTCTTTTCTCTTTTCAAACTTTCTTTATAAAAATGATTTTTCTTTTGAAAATTTCTTTTATACCAAGTCCTCAGTTTGAGTCCAGACGCACCCGATTGTGTATCCGAATCCCTCAAACTAAGGCTCTGATACCAACTTGTAACATCCTAATTTTCAAGACCAAAAATTTCATTTTTGATTCAGTAACTCATAAAATAGTTTACCAAAAACATTACCAATGTCAAATCAATTTATAAAACTGTAACAACGTGTCTCAAACCATATCATCAATAGTAGTAAAAATCAGAGTACAATCCCATAAAACTGAATGCGGAAATCCTGTGTGAGTGTGATGTGTCGCTATCGCGCCGGCTCCTTCCCCTTCGCTGAAGAGGTACCTGAAACAAAACTGGAAACTGTAAGCACGAAGCTTAGTGAGTTCCCCCATCATACCACATACCATACAATCACATAGCATACATACTGTCAGGCATATCTGGGTGCCCGATCTACCCCTTCGCTCCTCTCGACCGGCGACCTTGCCTAGCATCCCTGGGTGCTGGCCTACCCCTTCGGTCCTCTCGACCGGTGACCTTGCCTAGCATATCTGGGTGTTGGCCTACCCCTTCGGTCCTCTCGACCAGTCTACCACATAATCATAATCTAGCATAGCTGGGTATTAAACTACCCCTTCGGCCCTATCGACCGGTAACTTGGGGACTATCTCCCCCTACTGCTAACCCTATCACATAACATCATATCAGGCTAGCACATAGAACATAACAGATAACAACAAACCTAGATGAATATCACATAGATAATCATCTAACATACGTCTCCTACCAGTGGGCCGGCATTGTGGCCGTAGACCCACCACTACTGGAAGGTAACTCACCTCGATGTCGCGTAGTGTCTGCACTAATCACGATGTGGAAATCGACTCTCCCCGACTCCTCAATCCCCACACGACAACTCTTCCAAGTTATCAACTCATACTCATACTTGCAACCCTTACAAGGGTCAACCCAAACCCAATCAATGTCCAAGTCAAATCCATGGTCAAAGCCAACTTTAGCCAAAGTCAACATCTGGTTGACTCGACTCGCCGAGTTGGCCCGCCAACTCGTCGAGTCCCCATAACCACAAAAATATCATAAACCCGTCCCTACCTGTCGACTCTAGCAAGAGCTCGACGAGTTCGCCTTCAACCACACATAAGACAATCTTCAAACGACTCGCCGAGTTTGTTCTTGAACTCGCCGAGTCCATCTTCATTCATAAGAAGATGTTCAGTCTATGACTCGCCGAGTTCCTCTTGAACTCGCCGAGTCCGTCTTCATAAGTTGGGAGATTGCCTTGGACTCGCCGAGTCTGTTCATACGCTCGTCGAGTCCTATGATTTCCAGGTTCAAAACAAACCCCTAGCAGGCTGAGTGTTCCTTCCACTCAACCAAAGCCATTTCCAGAAGACGTTTTGGGGGAAAAAGTGTCCCGACTCGCCGAGTCCCTCTTTGTCCAAATCTATACAGTCGATTTCAGTGGGTCTTAATGCATCCCAATCATAGATTTGACCTCCTAGGGTCCCTTTTATACGTAAAGCTACGAACTTGATGTCCATGCATGAGGTTTATATGATGCATGGGCTTCCCATGGCCATAAAGTTGGCACCTTTATGCCATGGGAACCCTCAATGGTTCCAGATCTGAAGCACAACTCACATATACAATCAAAACTAAACATAGCTTCTCAAAAGCTTAGAAAAGGTGGAGAAATAGTCCCAAAACAAGATCTAAGAAATAGATGGTCAAGGTTCAAGCTTTTCACATTGAATGAACTGAGAATGAAGCAAAACCTCGGGATCTACTAGCTTCCTCTTGATCTCCTAAGCTCCCTTCTTCTCCTTCAACTTCAAACACACACAAAAAGGCACAAAAGAGCTCAAAATCACTCAAAAATGGTTTAGGGTTTCAATCTAGGGTTTCTCTGAGTTGGGAGGGTGATGGAGGCTGGGTTGGAACGAGATAAAGTATTTAAATAGGGTGCAAACCCTAGATATTAGGGTTTTATCCAGACAGCTCCTACTCGTCGAGTCGGTCTTCCGACTTGTCGAGTAGGTCACTTAAACCCCCGATCGCCAGTCGAGTCTAGTCGACGAGTTGGGCCTCTAACTCGCCGAGTTTCAGAGTAAATTGCAACATTTCATGAAATTAAATACGTACCAGGAATCGGGTGCTACACAAAAAACAATTATTTCAAGGGTAAATTTTTTATTTTTAGGTAAATCTAGTCTATGTTGATAAATGATATGCAACATTCAACCCTTATTATTATGAAATCAAAATAATATTTATGAATTTAGTCAAGGGAAGTAATGTACATAAATTGGAAAAGTTGAAGGGTGTAATGTATATAAATTAGAAATGTTGAGGGGGGCAAAACACCTACTTGCCCCTGTACTCCCTCCGCCATTGCTCACATGATTTGCACGTGATGACACTTAACGACTCCAATTTGACGGAATGAGTCAAAATGACTATTCATAAAATGTTTTCAAACCAGAATGACCATACTTGAAGACCACATGAACCATTTTTAAAGATTTGTCTATATTTAAGCATTCAATTTATAAAGAAAAACAAATAATTTTTTATATAAGTTGCAGATTTGTGGTTAACATCTTTTTATTAATACATATATTTTACTTTTTAAAAGCAAAAACCGTGTCCAAATAAGATAAATGAAGAATGAATAAAAGATTATCCATTCATGTAATTATCTTTTTATTAATTAAATAAGATAACTTATATGCAATAACTATTAAATATTAAGGAAAGAGGGATGTGTTTCGGTTTAACCTTAGTTGGGGTTGAAAATAGCCGTATCCAACCCGTTGACGGCGTCTCCTTTATTGCTATCCTCCAACATTCATCTTTGCAACCGAAATCAGAAACCTTGGGGTTTTACCTTTACTTTCCGCTCTGGTGTACTCTCGCTAAAATCTTCGATTCCAAAAATCTTTGTAAGTCATTAATTTAAACCCTAACTTCAATTCATGCTTGCACAGCTTACTTTGAATTTGCACACACATTGTTCTTCGTCTCTTCCCCTTGATGATTCTCGACGTAGATTAGGTAATCAGTAAGAACCCATGAAAACACAAACAGTTCGATTTCGACAGTAGTTTTGTTGAAAAAGTTAACAAATTTGACAGTCTGTTGGTGATCATAGCTCGAATCGATTTAATGTTTGCTTCAGTTTGCTTCAAAGTTGAAAGCTCTTATCCCCACTCTACTTTATCTTTTCTACATTATCCGCGTTTCTGCTGTTTTGATTACTTAACATATGCTTGTAACTTGTAAGTGTTAGTTTTAAATCTGTGTTAATGACTCAATGATTACTAGATTTTCAAAACCTTTTGGATGTGTTATAACTAACGATATTGTTTTTATTGATACAACTGTATTTTTCTCAGTTCATCTTTAATTGGGTTTCTAAATAGGTACATGGTTGGGTGATTCCATGGAGATATATGGTGTTTTTGAACCTCTGACCCCAGCAAAGCCAGTTCCAGCTAGGTCTGGACATAACACTCAGGTAGCATCAACTTCTGGACGAGGGACTGAAAAGGAAAATATAAATGATGAATTTCTATGTACAAGTTCTTTGGGTACTACAGAATATCTGGAAGATAATGGAAATAAGGGGTCTTCTGTTTTGGGTGTAGCTGGAAAGGATCCTAAAAGTACTACAACCGATCAAAGTAAGCATTTTCCCCTTTGACTTTTGAGAGTCAAAGCATAGTACTTTCATTACTTTATTCTACAATCTACTTGTAAGTCTTGTATCATTCATATGATGCAATCTTGTTTGGTATTCTAGTTAAGATGCTTCTAATGTCTAAATCAATCTAGTGGATTAATATTGAAAATTTGAAATATTTTCCTTTTGTGCAGATAACACAAGTTGTATACAAGAGGAGACAAAGTGTAATGACAATAAGGCTCATGATGTTCATGAGTCACAATATGGTATCAACAACTCAATTCCTTCAATTCCTTCTCCATCTGAGACAAAAGATAGCAGGAAGAGGCGTAACAATGGCATTGACTTAAACAAGAAGCCAAGTCAAAGAACCCGAATGAAAAAACATAGGCCTAAAGTATATGATGATAGCAAACCAAAGAAAGTCCAAAAACCTAAAACCCCAAAACCAAAAACCCCAAAACCTGTAACTCCAAATCGTGTACATGAAAGGAGTGTTCGTTCAAGAAAGGAGAAATTCAAAGAACCAACAAGTTGTATGCAAAAGTCAACCAGTTATGTTGACCAAAGAGATTCTCATCATGTGTCAAAACTACATGAAGAAGCCATTTGTGTGCAAAACTCAATGAGTTATAACATTGAAGATGTGGAACAAGCTTCTAGGGTTTCAAGAAATGCTCTTATTCCAATGATTCCATGCAAACGTCGTTTGGATTTAAACTATCCAATTGAAGGAGAATCAAAATCACATGATGAACATCTGAGCTTTAACTTTGACAATGGAGATTATGACTTTTTTGATAGGATTGTTACTTCTAAGAGAAATACAAAAAGGAGAAGTAGGTTTCAGAATAAGAGTGTTGAAATTGAAGCTTCAGAGGATTTGTTGGATGATAATAACAACAAGCAACAATGTGGGTTGGATTTTTCGGTTATAGAAAACTTGAAACAAACTAAAAAACATGTTAGAAGGTTTGTTTATGTCTATAAATGCCAAAAGAAAAGAAATTCAAAGACATCTACATTGCAAGTATACCAAAAGAAGTGTAGATTAGATCAGTGTCTACAAATTAGTAGAAAAAGTGGACCCAATTTTCCAAAACTTTTCAAGAAACAAAGGAAGATGAGAAAAAAGGTGACTATAAATCCAAATTGGTTGCTCAAGTTTCTTGAAAATAGCAAGAAGAAGAAAGAACCACATAAAAAACTCAAGAAAAAAGTAGCAAAAAACAATCTTCTTCTTCTTCCTATTTTTTCACCCATGAAAAAGAAGCGATCTATATTGCAGACTCGAAGAAGAGAGAATCTTGTTGACTTTCCTATTTCTAAAGAAATCTCTCTTTATGATGAAAGATTCCTTTTATGTCAAGAGGAAAATTTTCTTCAAATGACTGAATGCCTCCCACTACAAGAGGTTCCTATTCATGAAATTGACAGTTTTACCTCACTACCCCTGCATTGTCAAGGAGTTGAAAACACTGTTGCTGCTTTAGATTGGCTCCAATTACAAGAGGTCCCACTTCTTGAAAGTCAAAGTTGGAAAAAAGACCGAAAGCGTAAAAGTCAAAGTAGGAAAAGAGACCAAAGTCGTAAAAGTCAAAGTTTGATACCCAAACAAAAAGGTAAATCTTGATCACACATTCTTTTATATTCTCAAAATTATCAAATAACTTATTATATCTTTTATTGAGGACATGAAGTATTTACCTTTTTAGTTTTTACTCTTGTCAGCTTTTTACTTTTATCAGCTTTATTGCTAGTATCTGCTTTCCGCTTTATTCTGTCACTTTCCCTATGGGATTTTGTTGTTTTTTTTTTTTATATCTTTTACTATGTTTGATGCAGATAGTAAATTGTATATAAGAGAAATGACCAAATATATAACAAAGAAGTTAGCAAAACTAGACATAAATGCTGAATGCACGGCGATTGTGGTAAGAAATAATGACAATAGGGCCCTTGTAAAGACAAAACCTAAGAAAGAAAAAGAAAAAGAAAAAGAAAAAGAAAAAAAGATTCTTGCAAAGGTTGACCTTGATGAAGAGTCAGAGAGAGTTTGGAAAATTGTAATGGAGAATGATGGAAGTCAACCATTTGAAGAAATGGATAATGATAAAAAAGAATGGTGGGAAAGACAAAGAAATATATTTCGTGGAAGGGTTGACTCATTTATTGCCAAAATGCATCTTATTCAAGGTAAATCTTGATTTTCTTGAAATAAATTAGTGTGCTTTTTCTTGAAATTTGGTCTTTTTTGGTCAAATTGAACAGGTAATAGGCGATTTTCACCATGGAAGGGTTCAGTGGTGGACTCAGTGGTTGGTGTTTATTTAACTCAAAATGTATCAGATCATCTTTCGAGGTATAAATATGTTTTTTTTACAAATCTTGAATTTCAAATGTGATTTTGGAAATATCCCTTTAATGATTTGCTTCATGTAATCCAATTAATTATTTAGCAAGAGAAAAGTTTAAACTTTAAAGTGTCAAATGTGATCCTTATTTCAAGATTTCTTATCAATTTTTGTCCTTATTTCAAGTTTTCAGCTTTTCAGGGACCAAAATCGATGTGAAACCTTGAAATTAGGACCAAAACTGAAAAAATTATCAGTTTTGGTCTCGACACGAACAATTCAAAAAGTGGAGGGACTAGTTTTGTAATTGACTTAATGAATAATCTTTCTTTTCAGCTCTGCTTTCATGTGTCTAGCTGCAAGATTTCCAGTCAAATCAAAAAACAAAGAAGTTGTTGACCATTTTGAAGTCAACACTAGTCAAGAATCAGTCAAAAGTAATACAGAAATATATGAAGGGTTCTTTAATAATAACAAAATTGACCAAAATTCAATTACTTCATATGATGATGAAATCAATCTGAGTCAAAATACACAGCTTAGCCAAACAGAAGCCTCAAATCTTGAAGATAAACCATGCCTTGATGAAAATCCAAAAAGTTTCCGGAAGGTTCTAGACCTAAATGAGGTGGACTGTCTTAGAAACTTCTATAACATTGATGAATCAGCACTAGATGAGAGCAAAGTTGTAGAAGAGTCAAACCTTGGAGAAGAAAAGTCAAAGAGCAAAGAAAGTGAGGCTTCAAATCTTGAAGACAAAACATTTGTTGATGAAAATCTAAATACCTTCCGGAAGGTTCTAGAGACAGAGGAGGCCGATTATCTCAAGAACTTTTGTAGCATCAATGTTGATGATTCAGCACTTAATGAGAGCCATGTTCAAGAAAAGTCAACATTTGGACAAGAAAAGTCAACCCTTGAACAGGAAAAGCCAACCTTTGAACAAGAAAAGTCAACCCTTGAAGAAGAAAAGTCAACCCTTGAAGAGGAAATGCCAACCTTTGAACAAGAAAAGTCAACAATTGTAGAAGAAAAGTCAACGTTTGAAGAAGAGCCGAGAATTGTTGCTCCAATTTCTAGTCTCCAATCCGAAATCACCATGGAACAAGGAGTCAATGTGGTCAACAGCCATGAGAGCAACAAAAAAGGAAAGTCAACCATTGAACAAGAAAAGTCAACCATTGAAGAAGAAAAGTCAACAATTGTAGAAGAAAAGTCAACCCTTGAAGAAGAGACAAGAATTGTTGCTGCAATTTCTAGTCTCCAATCCGAAATCACCATGGAACAGGGAGTCAAAGTGGTCAACAACCAAGAGATCAACAAAAAAGGAAAGTCAACCTTTGAAGAAGAAAAGTCAACTCATGAAGAAGAGCCAAGAATTATTGCTCCAATTTCTAGTCTCCAATCCGAAATCACTATGGAACAAGGAGTCAAAGTGGTCAACAAGAAAAAAGGAAAAAAGAAGAGCAAGAAAGAACAAAAAGAGGAAGTGAAAATAGATTGGGAGAAATTAAGAGAAATTTATTCCCAAAATGGAAAAAAAGAAATTAATGAAGATTTCATGGATGCAGTTGATTGGGAAGCAGTTTATAATACTCCAGTTCAAGAAATTGCTAATCTTATAGTTGAACGTGGAATGAATAACGTGTTAGCCATAAGAATAAAAGTATATATATAACTTTATACAAAAATAATTTAATAGTTACATATAAATAAACAGAAAAACATAAGTTGACTTTTTTTTTTCAGGACTTTTTAAACCGAATGGTTAAAGACCATGGATCTATTGATCTCGAGTGGTTAAGAGATATCCCACCAGATAAAGCAAAGTAAGTGAATTAAAATTAAAATTAAAATAATTATATATAGAGGGGTAGATTGGTAATTTTGTCATATGTTTGTAGGGAGTTCTTGTTGAGTATACCGGGAATCGGTTTAAAAAGCGTGGAGTGTGTACGGCTTCTAACACTACATCATAATGCTTTTCCTGTAAGTGTTTCAATTTATTTTTTTCTTACAAATTACAAAATTACAATATTACCCTTCCATTTTGTTCTTGAAGGTTGACACAAATGTTGGACGGGTGGCCACACGTCTAGGGTGGGTCCCACTTCAACCTCTCCCAGAACAAGTTCAAATTCATCTCTTGAACTCGTAAGTTTCACGTATTATTCAATATTTTATTATTTAATTTTACAAAACTATATTAATATTATAATATTTTATTTTATTTTCAGATACCCAATGGTGGACACAATTCAAAAATACCTCTACCCTCGACTATGCACTCTTGATCAAAAAACATTGTAATAATAATAATAATCAATTTCTTTAAAATTATTCATTATTTTACTATTTTACAATGAATCTAATTGAATAACTTGTGTTAACTTTTGAATATATAGATACGAGTTACATTATCAGTTAATCACATTTGGAAAGGTACGTTTTCATTTCTTTTCTTTATCTTTTTTTTTTTCCTTTTTATTTATTTATTTCCATCATATAATATAAATATTTTTATAGGTGTTTTGCACAAAATTAAATCCAAATTGTAACGCGTGTCCCATGCGAGCTGAATGCAGACATTATGCAAGTGCTTTTGCAAGGTATGTCACATCTATTACTATAAATAATAATATAATATAACATTTAATTAATATTTTTTTAATTTAATTTTTTTATCACATTAACTAATATAAACTTTTTCCAAATGTAGTGCTAGGCTTGCACTTCCCGGACCAAAAGGAAGTAGTTCTGTAACCACCACAATCATACCAGCACCACCAGCATCGCCGCCACCATTGCCGCCAGTACAACCACCACCACCACTGGTGGTTGCTGACGTGGACCCGAACGACTGTGATTCAAATTCCTATGTTGAAAACTGTGAACCGATAATTGAAATTCCTCCATCTCCGGAGCCTTATGTGGAAGTGAAATTGCCTGATATTGAGGATTATTTTTGTGAATCAGAAGATGAAATTCCAACCATTAGATTAAATACACAGGAATTTGAGGAGACATTGAAGGAGACAATAAATAAGAAGAATAATTTGTCGTTTTCTGAGACTGATGACGTGTCAAATGCTATTGTTGCTTTGAGTCGTGAAGCTGCTTCTTTTCGTGTTAGAGTAAGACCTATAAAGCATACAGGAAAGTTGAGGACTATACATATTGTGTACGTTTTTTTATTTATTTTTAATATTTTCTTAAATCTTTATTTTTTTTGTTTACTCGACACAAATATTACATCTTTTTTCTTTTTTTAATAAATACAGATATGAGCTCCCGGATTTTCATCCGATTTTGGCTGGGGTACGTATTTTTTTAATGCTCAAAACATAACGTTTTTTTGAATAGAAAATTTGTAACATTTTTTTTTTGTGAATGTATAGTTTGATGAAAGGGAACAAGAAGATCCATCGCGATATCTTCTTGCCATATGGCCGGGTATTAAATTAAATTTTATTTTTTTGTAAAAAATTATTTACTTTTTTTTTTTGAAGAATATTAATATTGGTTTTGAATATAACAGAAATCAGTTCATCCAAAAATATAGAAGAAGAAACAGTTAAAGGAACAATCTTGGTGAGGATTTCTTTAAATTTCCATTTTCTCTATTAAAACATTATATTAATTTTTAAATTTTTTTTTCTTCTAACTAATATATTAATGAACAGATACCTTGTCGAACTGCAAATAGAGGGAAATTTCCTCTCAATGGGACATATTTTCAAGTTAACGAGGTAAATTTATCTTTTTAGTTCCAAATTTTTATATTTTTCCAACATAATCATGAATATAATATATATTTTTAATTATTATTCAGGTATTTGCTGATGATGAAACTAGCGATGTTCCAATGGATGTTCCACGACATTTTCTATGGAATTTATCAAGGAGAGATTTAGCTTGTGGGACATCCGCCACATCGATATTTAAAGGTGCGATTTAACGCATTTCGTATTTTACAACTTTTTTTTAGACAAAATTACAAAAATGGTCCTTTTGCTTTCTGATTTATATTCTATCTAGTCCAAAATCGAAACTTTTTTCAAAATATACAAAAATCAATGTGAAACCATGAAATAAGGACCAAAATTTTTTTGGGCCATTTTTGTGTCGTAACCTTTTTTATTAACCTTGTGACTTTGTCTTTAATCAGCCTTATCAACCGGTGATATTCAGCATATTTTTTGGAGAGGTATGAATTTAACAAATTTTTTTGTAAATGTTATGATAATAATTAGTTGGATTTGTATGTAATTTGTTTCAGGATCGATATGTGTGAGAGGATTTAACAGAAAAACAAGGCAACCTCGACCTCTTCATCGTAGGTTTCATGTTTCAACAACTGTAAATTCAACAGGGAACAAGAAAACACCCAAAAAATGAAGTTATTAATTATGGCATATAATTAATTGGACTAAAACTAATTGTTCTAACGGAAGAGTAGGGAAAGTGTAGGGGCTGATGTGTGAATGTGAATGTAAATAAATAAATATATATTACATTAGGTATCAATTATTCTTATCCTTTATCATTTCCATGTAGTAGTTAATTTTATACATAGTTTTTATTTTCCATGTCAGATTTTTTGTATATTAAATAGATCTAATCTTTATTCAATTTTCCGTTAATAAAACCTTTTGTCATATCAGTCGAAATAAGTCGAATTTATGTGTGTCGGCTTGTATTTTTATTAAATCCTTTTGATTTCTTCGATACCATGGATCCAAATTTTGTTTTAAATATGGACGATTTCAAGATTATCAAAACTTTCAAGGTTATGAAAGCTCTTAATTTTTCTTAAATCTCAATCAATTCCTTGTCACTGAAAATATTCAAACCTCACAAAATATTGAGGTGATAAATTGGATGTTGATGAAGATATCGTTTTAATGTTAACATATTGTATCATTAGTGAACTTGAACGTCGTGGGGAAAACTAAAAGAAAACATCAAGTGAAGAAGCTATATGATGCAAATGAGTCGGAAAACCTAGGAAAACTTGGTAATAGGAACATAGCTCAAATGAAAGGTCGTTATAAACGACTTAATGAAAATGCCAACAAATGAGTTGGTGTTTACTGAGAAGCATATAGCAAAAAAGAAGTGGAATGATTATGAAAGATGTTGATAATGAAATTCATAAATTGTATGAGACAAGTGGAAACAAGTTTAATAACAATTGTTTTTAATGAGGTTATGTGTGACCATTGAAAATGGGATTTACAACTAGATCACGACGCAATACAATCACATCCAGAATGTGACGTGGGTGATGAAGAAAGTGGTGATAGCATAAAAAGATCAAGTAGTACAGAAGAAGGAGACTATTATGTCAAATCTAATACAGAAGCGCCAAATAAAACATTTTGTCAAATTAGTCTACCAATCATTAAATAAGCCGAATTCCATATAATATGTGATTATGTGTGTCGGCTTACATTTTTAACTTTTTAATTTTTTTTTTAAATTTCTAGATTTGACAAATTTTGTTGTAATTCAGTTCGTTACAAAATACAGCTAATGAAATCAAATGACAACCCTTCTTTAATCACAATTTTAATTGACAAACTCTTGTGTTATGTCATTTGTTGTAGTTGTTTGGGAATTAACAACATTTTTATTTTTACATGTAACATAATAACAATAAAAAACATTAGATCATAATTATATTGCATTACTATACAATGCATTGTAAACTATTTCATACATCTATGACATTGGGCATATTGTTTGCCATCTCTATCCTCTACATGCTCAAAATTCTAATCTTGGAGTTTCAATATGCTTTGCTGTGAATCTTCAAGCTGATTGAACATTGCAAGATGAAGCTATTTTTCTTAATCGATTTGAGATAGCAAATACAATTAGAGAGAATTCTCATAGAGGTGATACTAGAGAGAAGTGATACGAAGGGTATTATAATGACTATAATACCCCTAAAACTAACCGTATGGGCACATTTGAAAAGTATAAATTTAAAAAAATAAAATAATAATAAACTAAATAAAAAATATCTAACTATCTCTTGTTATTATGGGTAATAGTCAAACTACATTTCTTGACAATGAACCGAAACACCAATTGTCAAGTTTGAATTTAAACTCCACTTCTGATATCGGATTCAATAAACTGAATAAAAAACACTATCTAGTTTGAGAAGAATAAAATATGTTATTATATTTTTATATAATTTTGTCTAAGATATATGAATAAATAAACATCGAAAAACATCTCGATAAAACGAATAGCATCTTTTGAAAAGTGGTGGGTCGTCTTCAAAAACTTACATCCTCCTGTTCTCCATCAATCTCAAGGCGATCTGATTCCCTCGTTTGAATCTTTTGGTAGAATCCATGTTTTTATTCCAAACATGTTTGTTTTCTTCTTTGGGGCTTATGATCAACACCTCTTTTGTCTCTTTTCCTTTTATTTATTTAATTTTTATGGTCTCTAAAGAATTATATTTTATGATTAACGAATTTCATACCAACTTTGTTTCCACATAGATCATATAAGATTTGAATATTTTGGTATGTTGGACTAAGCTAATTTGTTAATAAAACTAGTTTATTATTTTTAATTTATTAATTAAGCTAACTTTTGATAGTTAATTTGAGATAGTTTTTGATAAACTTATGAAGCTATTTTATAGATATTTTAAATATATCTTTAATAATATTTACTTTTTTTTTTCTTTTAGTTAAATATATAAATGTTTATCTATATCATTTTACATTGCAATCTAACTTATAAACTATTTTTTTTTACCAAACACTATTAATTGTAAGTTAATTTATCAGCTAGTTTGCCAAACAACTAGTTAACAATTAGTTTTTAAATAAAAAATAACCTAATAAACTAACTTAGAAATATTATTTTAGCTAATTTGCCAAACATGTCTTTATCATATTATTTATCTACTTATATGGCCTCTAGAAAATAGTTTTTCTTGCATCAGTTTCTTTTCCTCTTCTGTATATAATTATTATATATGATTAATTTGACTTTATAAATTTAGAATGTAATAATTATTATATATCTTCATGTATGTAAGATTGTAAGTATCCTATGTACGTTATTATAATAGGATTTGAATAGTACGTTTTGGATAAACAATATTAAATATTTACTTGTATGCTCTTTAAAAAGTTAAAACATTCATTAAAACTAGAAATGAGGCCCGTGCGTTGCACGGGTCGGATTTTTTTTATTGATGTTTGGCGGGTCACGAAAGTAGGATGCTATAATATCATTCAAATACAATATAGCTGGATAGATTGAAGAGTATAATGTCGTAATGTAAGAAATGAAAGTAATCAAATAAATTAGTGTACGTTGCTGTTTTTTGCGTTTAACGCACAATCCTTTGATATATGAACCATCATGGTCCTACACAATACAAATTACATCATATCAGCAGAAGCAAAATGACATTTTTTGGTATTAAATTTGAAAGATTTCGGTTTTCCAGTTATGCCTCTATTAAAAAATTTTTACCTATTCGAATATAGCCCTCACTCCACCAATGACGGACAATGGTCTATTAGAATCATATGTAAGCGATTATTCACAAAGTTCATTAATTTATAGGAAAATTTTCATAGTGATTATAGAGAAATGGTTTACCTAGTGCACATAAGATTTGTAGGTGGAAGAAAATAAAAAGGAAAAATGAAAATGAAATATAACTAAAGAATTAGGATGACAAATAATTACATACCTTCACCTTTTTCGTTTTCTTTTTCTTCTTTTTCTCAGCTACATCACCTAATATGAGAGATGGTTGCACTTCATCCATCTGAAGAGAAAATGAAAAGTTGTCAAACATGGTAAAACTGTAAACGTATATTTAAATGAATAAATGATTACAAACCAAAAATTTCTGAAATACCTGCTAGAACAGCAAGATTCATGTCCTCCACCATCATCTTGTCCTTCCACCCTAATGGCAGCAATCTTCCACCGGTTCCTATATATTAAATAATTAATTACCATCTTAACCCTTTATTATTTTATTGAAAAATAAAAAACAAAAATGTGTCGAATTTTGTTGTTTTTTTTTGAAATTATATTACCGTTTAATCCAAAAAATACATAACTGATCCTACTTCTTGCTCCATTGTGAAATGGTAATTCAGTGACATCTCTTGCATCCTTTTCAAAAACCATTCATCAGAGTTCACTGCAAGCAACCTCATCGCGTGTTAAATAAGTTACTGGGTATTTACAAATGGATCATAATCAAATATGTTGTATTGCAGGATAAAGTGGAAGTGCAACAGCAGCATACATTTGTTACAAATACTACTTCAAAATATAGGAAGAAATAAATAAATTAAAAAAAAATGAAGGTGATGAGCATAATTGTGAAATAACGATTGGTTAAATCAAATCTTCCCAGCTAAAGAATGTAGATGCATAGACTTAACAAACTGAATTGCAAATTAATAAGGTAGTTTATATGTATAGCTAGACCGGTGATTCTAACATTGTTGGCGTGCATCATTTGTTTGATGGAAAAATCATTGTAATGCACTTTTAATAGAAGGAAGTATTCTAATGGATAAAACCGAATTTCAAAATTAAAAAGCATTTTTCAAACACGAAGCACAATTTTCCAAAGCACCATTAACATGCCTCAAACTTATTGAAGTAAAGAATGAAATCAATCAACGAAAAGCATAGATTTGCGCTATCTGACAACATATACACACAGATAGTACATAAAGACACATACTGATCCAAGGTAGTGAATACCTGCTTCAAAGCAATAACAAAATTGTAAACAAATAAATCAAAAAAAAATTCATAGCAGTTTAGTAATCACCTCATAGGCAATGCTATTCTTGCAACCAAGTGATTCCTAACTTGAGCAATAAAAGGTAGAATAGCAGGTACAGAAGAAAAAATATTTAAAAAAATATCAAGTAAAAAAATGAAAACAACTAAAGATATAATAACAGGTGGTCTAACCTGAGACGTAGCGGTCGAAAGGCAGCCAACAACAGCTTCTAATCTGTCCGAATTTGTTGGTCTGCCCGGTCCATTGAAGGAAAACATGGAATTCCAAATGGCTTTACTAAAACATGTTAGGATCGAGACACTTAACACACGACTCTAAACACACACACAACTCACGAAAAACAAGAACACAAGGATGAACACGAGAGATTTAACGTGGTTCGGTCCTTCTCTGACCTACGTCCACCGGTAACTAGGAATTTATATTTCTTGGTGCTAATCTGCACTCTTTCTGTGTTACTCTAGATACAAGTTTTACAAATACAGATGGATCTCTTATATAGAGATGGAAATCAGAAGTAGTCAAAAAACACAACCGGGTCTTCAGCCAACCTTTGAAAAAACTTCACATTCAACAATTGTGGCTTCACGTTCAACAATTGTGGCTTCACATTCAACAATCTCCCACTTGAAGCCACGGAACAATCTTCACCTGTGCTTCAACTGTGCATCTGTATTTTAAAAAATTTGATCTTAACTCCTTCCTAGTTACCCGACCTTCTCTTCAATTTACATGTTCTCTGTCTCCACCGGCTCCCACTAAAATGAACTGCCCGATCCTGAAACATCCTGAGAACAAACGACACTCTCCATGTGAAGCAGATAATCTGGAGAGACTTTTACAGATGAAATACTGGTTCTCTTAACCCATTGTGTTTTGGGTATTCTAGCTGAAACAAAGCCCATGCTCCCACTGCTATGAATGCCCTTGACTGGTTTTTCTGAACCGTTCCAAACACGTTCAACCTGAATCTGACCTGTGACTCTGGGTTTGCCATATGCAAAGCAAACCTTCTTCTGTCCACGAGACTCTATGAACCGGATTTTGTTTTTCTTCTGAACTGGGACGGTTACTCCCTCAGACGGTAAACTGACCATATATAATGAACCCCTCTTATGTCCACGAGCTATCACAAGATTTCCTTTGACAACCTTCCACTGCCCATTCCTGAACTTAACCTCGTGTCCCTGTTCATCCAACTGCCCAACAGAAATCAACTGTTTCTTCAGACTTGGAATTACCCGGACATCCTTCAAAGTCCATGGACCGACTGGAGTCTTCATATCTAAGTCACCTATGCTCGTCACATCAAGAACCTCATCGTTCGCCAGTCTTACCTTACCAAAATCCCATTCTTTCAGATTCCGCAGTGCTTCACGGATGTGGGTAGCGTGAAATGAAGCACCCGAATCCATAACCCAGGAATCCACATTGCTCTCCACACTACAGATCAAAACATCATCATCTGAATGGTCTACTGCAACGTTAACTTCTTTCTTGTCTTTTGGACATTGATTCCTGAAATGTCCAACCTTTTTACAGTTCCAAGAAGTCACATTATTTCGAGTCCTCGACTGACTCCTTCTCCTGTTCCCGCTCCCACTACCTCTGTTATTTCTTCTACCTCTGACCGCATTCAATTGTTCACTTGATGATTCCCCGGAATTTCTTCGTCTGACGTCTTCGCCTAGAATTAAATCCCGAATTCCCTCATAAGTGAGCTCTTTCGATCCTGCGGAACTAGTAACGACTGTAACTGTTCCGGACCAACTGTCAGGTAATGATGATAACAGTAGTAAAGCTTGAACTTCGTCCTCAAATTTTATTCCCACGAACCCAAGTCTGGATAAAATCGAGTTCAAATTGTTGATGTGTACTGTAACTGAACTTCCTTCCCTCATCCTCGTGTTGACTAGTTCTCGAATCAGGAAGACTTTATTTGCTGCCGACGGCTTCTCGTACATATTAGACAATGCCTCCATGATTCCCTTTGTCGAGGTCTCCTTCAAAATATTGAAGGCAACATCCTTTGACAACGTCAGTCTAATAAATGCCTTGGCCTTCTTATCCAAAGTCTCCCAGTTTGCCTGTGTCATCGCCTCCGGATTTTCACCTAAAACTGCGTCCAAGTCTTTCTGTACGAGCAAATCTTCAATTTGCATCTTCCACCAACCAAAATCTTTCCCATCAAACTTCTCAATCTGAAGCTTACTGCTTTCTGCCATTTTCTGAAAGAATAATGACCTATCTTGCAATTTTCAAATCTGCTACAGTGTTGCTACAGTGCATGCTACAGTGTCTGCTGACGTCGTGCTACAGTTCCTGCTACAGTGTCGTCTTCTCCGGCGGACTGCTACAGTGTCTGGTGCTACAGTGTCGTCTTCTCCGGCGAACTGGTTTTCCAGGTCACTATTCCGGCAAACCTTTGACCGGCGATTTGGACGTCTTCCGGTGGTCAAAAAATTCAGAAAATAATATTTTCGGAATCTTCGGAACGAGACATTTCCAACGGTATACACCAAAATCGTTTTTGACGAAAAAAAATTTCGACCAAAAAAACAGAAAATCACCCTCTGGAGCTAAACCAAGGCTCTGATACCACTTGTTAGGTTCGAGACACTTAACACACGACTCTAAACACACACACAGCTCACGAAAAACAAGAACACAAGGATGAACACGAGGGATTTAACGTGGTTCGGTCCTTCTCTGACCTACGTCCACCAGTAACTAGGAATTTATATTTCTTGGTGCTAATCTGCACTCTTTCTGTGTTACTCTAGATACAAGTTTTACAAATACAGATGGATCTCTTATATAGAGATGGAAATCAGAAGTAGTCAAAAAACACAACCGGGTCTTCAGCCAACCTTTGAAAAAACTTCACATTCAACAATTGTGGCTTCACGTTCAACAATTGTGGCTTCACATTCAACAAAACATATAATAGCAATGTACAAACGTACGCTTTCATCATTTCAAATAGGAGATAGTGGAGTGCATAACAAAAATGATGAACTAAGAAGGGCAAGGAAATGGCAGTTGAGCAAAGTGCTAATATCAGAAGGATTTTTCTCTGAAGAATTTCATTGAGCACCTTATGTGCACAACTCATTCTTCTCGCTTTTTACTGGAACATGCGCTAGATTCATCGTTCTTTCAACCTTTCAATCGAGCAAATAAGACAAAATACTGTATATGGGTATCCTGGTGAAAGAAAATATGGCCATCACTACTTTTGTGCAGTGAGAAACAACATAGATAAAGAACTTAAGAGATCAATGGTCAATTTAGGCTACCTGAAATCGATTCTATATAAATAAAATCTGAAAAATCATAAAGAAAAAAAAAATCAAACCAGAATGTTTGGTCCATATTGTTAATTAACCCAGCATAAAAGATAACCCACGAACAGTAAAACACGGGAAAAAAAGTCAATTACTATAATGAATCGAACATGAAGAGATATAGATTTACCTCCGATGGCATAAAAAACAGAGCAAAATCCGCTTGCATATGTTCTTTGGTAATATAACAACCTTCAATTTCTCCGTATCTTTGTATGTGATGCATCCAACGGAAGATAAACGTCAACAAATCCAACGGAAGGTACTGGAAGATGGACTAACCTACGGGTGTAGGAATAAAATGAGAGAAAATGACCGGAAACCGGAACTATTCCCCACATCTGTCCACACAAAAATATAGGTATTGACACAAAATGACCCAAATATAGTTGAGGGACCATTTCTGCCAATCTATTAGGAAAACTTTTCTTTATAACTTTAATATATATATAATAATATATTTATTTAAATAAATAAAATAAAGAATGTTTTTCTAACCAAAAAATAAAACAAAGCGAAACTTTTTTCTTAGGCACCAAGTAATCTATAGCAATACATTTATATTAAGTTTCAGTAGACAAATATACTAAGTTGTCAACGGACTACTCGGTATTATATCATATCATTAATTTAATTGTATATATACCCATCTTATATAACAACATGATAAGCTTTAAGTATTTAATTTGGCGTTGATATGTGAAGCTAGCTGGTTGTATTCAAAGTAATTTTAGATCGTGCAACATATTATTTATAGAAAATTACAGTTAATATATATAATACATATTCTTTGCGGATAGGTTTAAAAAATACATGATTATTTTATTAAGTCACAGATTGTTTCAATAAGTTAACGAATTTAACTGTGTAAAATAATTCCAAAACCTGTTCAGAAAAACTGTAAAAGTATGCATTGTTTCTTTTTAACTTTTGTTTTAATTATCACAAACAATAAATATTAATACAAATTCACAACAAATTATATAGCAGTTATTAAAAAAATGTATTGATAGAATTGATAAAACCCCCCCTGAACACAAGTTGGTTTGATGATTACTTGGCTTTATGTCCCCATCGATCCCTTTCACTTTGTTCTCCATCTACGAGATGACTGATGATGATGATATCAAAATCTAAGCATCTTATTCACTTGTCACACTACCACCTAGGTTACCAGCTTATCATGTTCAGTTTTTTGTTTTTTCTATTTCTTTTTTGTTTTGCTATCACCAAAATTTGTTAGATAAGGATTAGCTAAAAAAAAACTAGAAAAAGCAAAATACAAGGCATGTTCTGTTGCGAATGTTTGATAGCTTTTAAAAAAATGGAAATTGAGTAATTTAGTTTTTTAAAAAAATAACTTTTTTTTTTTGGCAAAATAACCATTTAGTTCGGAATGGGTTGTTCCGGACCCGATTTCAAATTCGGGTAAATGGGTGGTAATCCTGACCCGGTAATCTGGTTCACATATAAATACCATTTAATCCGTTTCGGACTACACTTCGACATCCCTTGTTTCGGACTAAACTTCGACATCCCATTCCGGACACCTCTACAACTGAGAATGTCTCTGATAGCAGTGAAGAAATGCAATTTTTATATGTAAGTTTCAAATTTGTTTCTAATTAAATGCATTTATTTGTGATTATACGTTAAAAAATGTTTAGTTTGCACAATTATATAGGTATTATAAGGTTTTCTGTAAACTTTAATCTTGTTAAGACAATTATAGGATTACATAGTATCATATGTATTTTCACTTAATTATCATTGATATTATTCATGTGTATCTATAACAGAGTACAAGATATCTGAAACTAACTAAGCTAATAAACATGAGTTTAAATCCTATACAACTGATAACTATGTTATCTATCAGGATCATGGTTGTCTTTAGTTTCTAGAATATCGCCAATACCCCCCGCAAGCTGAACGGTG